TGATTGCTCACTTGTGGATGTCCCGCATAGGGAACTTTCGGTTTTGGCTTTTACATATGTATTTAATAAATACATTGTAGTTAAAAGTTTCTTATTATTTTCTAGGCTTATCCTTCAGAACAGATACAGTCAGCTTTAGAGCTGAGAGATGATGACTCAATCATTGAAGGTATTTCCGATGAGGATGACTCGATCTCTTACTGCTCATGCAAAAACTCTCCAAAACGGTGGAGAAAGCTCTAGTGAGTATTCAATTGTCAAGTTGGATTTATTGGAAGCACCTAGACGGCTTCGCACCATCTCCACCTTAATATCGGAGTTTATCGTCTTCCGCTAGCAGCCAGTCATGTTAGAGTATTACAAACACCGTTTGAATATTTTACCAGACACATTCCTGAAAAAATATTCGAAATATTCAGCTCCTTTTCAAATCAAACTTATTTACATAAAACAGGGAAGAATTTAGGCTCAACAAAAGATGAAATGAAAATCTTTTTTGGCATATGTATCGCATAGCATTTGGGTTTGCCAAGAATTAAAATGTATTGGATGAATAAAACTAGGATCCCAATGATAGCTGATCGTATGCCTAGAGATCGTTTTTTTTTCGGATAAGGACTAACGTGAATGATCTTGATGTCGATACGGCTGCCAAACAAAATAAGTTTTGGAAAGTGAAACCCCTAGAAACAGTACGAAATGCTTGCTTAGAAAATCCCAGATCTCAAAAAGTCAGCATCGATGAACAAATAATACCATTTTGGGGCCAAGTATCAATGCGGTAGTTTATCAGAGTAAAACCAAACCCTTGTGGGCTGAAGAATTTCGTTTGTACCAGTCCAGGTGGTATACCCTTAGATGTTTTCTTGTATGAGGGCAAGGGTGATAGCATACTACTGATTGGTGAAACTGAAGGTCTGGATATTGGCGGGAAAGTCGTAATGAGATTGGCTAATAATTTACCTGAGGGTTCCAAGCTATACATGGATAGATATTTTACATCAATTGGGCTATTAGACAAACTATACACAGAGAAAAAAATTGCAAGGAACGGGCACTCTCAAGAAGTCAAAAATCCCTAAAATATGCAATTTTAAAACTGATAAGCAGTTAAAAGATCAGGGACGCGGTTCTTCTGACCAATTAGTAAGGAATGATGGCCTGATGGCTTGTTTGAAGTGGTTTGACAACAAACCTGTAGTTATGGCATCATCTGCAGATTCAAAGTTACCTGAAAACAAATGCCGGCGCTGGTGTAAGAAGACGAAGCAATACATCGAGATTAATAGGCCTTATACTATTCAGCAATATAACGAAAATATGGGGGGAGTGGACATGCTGGATAGAGTTATTAGCTTTTATAGAATAAGCGCACGCTCAAAAAAATGGACGGTTTGATCGATATTCCATTTATTCGACTTTGCGGCAGCTGCAGGATGGTTGATGTACCGGGAAGAAGCCCAAATGTTGGATACTCCTAAAAAGGACACTGGATTACTTGAAGTTCAAAACTGAAATAGCAAATTCTTTTCTCTATTTCACTCCAGCAGGAGAACAAATACACCTACCTGTACGAGGAAGTTGATGATGTGCAGAGGAAATAGTAGTTGCAAGAGCAAGAAAGCAAGGGTATACTGCTCAACTTGCGGCATGCATCTATGTTTAGTCACAGGGTGGAATTGTTACAAACAATATCACAAATAAAATTAATTTTTATTTGAATAAATACTTCTTTCTTTCACTGAGCTTTAAGGTTTTATTTATATGTTTTTAATAACACTCGAACCCTCTAGGCGACATGTAATAAAACAAATATATAAATAGAAAAAAATATAAAGTATATTTTTGTTGCTTTAAAATGTATTTCTAAGTATGCCTACCAAAAATTGTATCAATATCTATCAAAACAACACTTCAGGACTGAGGAGGTTATATTAATGTTCTATTGGGCTATAGTTATATAGGGCACTAGTCATATTTCAGACATCATATAGATATTTTTGTTGCACAAAAATGTAATGAATTTAATCACTATAATTTTTATCCTTTTTAATAATACACTAAAAATATGATAACAATCAATTTAGCTTTAAAATTTGAATAACAACATAATTAGTTTACCTTTCTCATAATAACCAAGTTTTCCATCTTTAAATGGAAATACTGATAAGGCGATAGCAACAAAGGCAGTTTCCATGGTTTGTAAAAGAGTTCTTCCTGATGTGTAAAACCAAAATGACGGTGTCAGAATTAGGAATAAAGCCCATTTGCGACCTCCTGTCCATTTATAAAAGCTATAATCTGCTGCAGTGCTGACGGCAGCTTGGAACAAACGAGGAAGTAAAACCTAAAAAAAATATATTAACTAGAAAAAATGGGTTGTGAGAATTTAGTACCAAGATACAAGTATTGTAACTCATATTTGTTCATATATATACATAATCAATGCATTGTTATTCAGAATTAATCTTGAAAAAGTCATCAACTAAATTTATATAGATTATTCTCTACCTCAAATAAATGTTTATTAAAAAATTATCATTTGATATCAGACACCACAAAAATTTGTACAGAAATCGTTAAAAAAAATTGACAAAATACATACCACAGCTTCAGGATAATCCAATCCGGTAATTTTGAGAACAGAATACAGTGCAGCAAATATACTGGGATACAAGTAACTCCTTATGCCCTTTCGCCACTCCCAAGTAAGAGCTCCATAACCAAAGACTTGCTTATGAGCCACTTCCAGGCTCTGCCAGTACTCGTCCGGCACATACCACGTTTGTACTAAGAAGACTGACAGGATTCTCACGAAGAAGATAATGTAGACCACTTGCAGTGGCCGCAGGTCCCTTACCAAAGCCATTTTTCCCGCCTAAAGGAGAGGTTACAATAGCTAAAAATAGCTCCAGAAAATGTGAATATGAAAACATATACCATAAAAATCAATTATTTAATACATTCCGATTTGGCGTGAGCATTAATAATTTTACGAGACGTTGACTTAGAAAAATATTAAATAAAACAAACTAAATCAAAAGAAATGTCAAACAGCGCGTCCTTTTGATTTAAGTTCAAACATGTATGAATGATATTATTATTGCTTTAAATTATTGTTGTATTTTAGTATTCAATGAATAAAAACATTGTTTTGATTAAAAATATGTTGTTATCCTTCATGAAAACATTTATATGGTTTAAAAAGAAGCTAACCTCACCTGCTGCCACTGGGCTCTAGTATTGTAACTTGCGTTGCAGAAACCTAGAAGTATGCGAAAATAGTCACAGTGACACAATCCGCCATTTTGCTTATTTAATTTTTTTTGATATAAAGGAAACGAAAAACCTCTATGCACTGGGCCTCTAGCACAGACTAAAAACTAAAATTTTAAAAATAAAAATCTAAAAATAAAACTAAACTGCCACAAACATCGGACACACGTTGATTGAAGTTGTAATGATCAAATCAAATTAAAGCTATTACATATTAAATAATATATGATTTGCCAATTAAGATTTTAGATTAAAATAGGCAAAAGTAAATACAAAACATTTTTTCGTTATAATATGCTGATGCGTTAAATTGCAAGATTTTTAAATTTTGAAGGCAGTTTGTTAGTAAAAACGACGACACAAATGCTTCGAAGGTAATATAAACCTCAAGTTATTTTGTTCTTTTAGGTGCCTTAATAACTAAAGACACTGTCGTTATTAACTATACGCAGCGGAAAGCTGTCGTCAAAACCTTTTAAAGACTTCGCAATGCTGTGATGCGTCAGCTTATTGTAAAGAAGTTCGGCTTGCTGCTCCTATTTCATCGTTTTAATAAATAACGTTCTGAAGTGAAGTTCAATAATTATGTAAAATACGTTGCAATGTATTATATGTTTGCCAATGTGAATTATCGGTTGAAACGATGCGATGTAGAAAGTGCTTCGATGGTGAATGGTAATATAAATCTCAGGCGTATTATCCCCTAGAGCTTTGAGATATTATTATCATCAACTGTCCACTGGATAAAGCTGTCGCTAAAATTTCTGAAGAGTTTTGCAATGTGACGCATAGTTTTGTAAACAAAACACAAATCGGGCTAGGCCTTAGAGCATACATTACATGTAAAAACTAAAATTGCCGGCTTAAATAATAAAAATCTAAAAATAAAACTAAACTGCCACAAACATCGGACACACGTTAATTGAAGTTTGTAATGATCAAATCAAATTAAAGCTATTACATAATAAATAATATATGATTTGCCAATTAAGATTTTAGATTATTAAAATGGGCAAAAGTAAATACACAAACATTTGTAATGTATGCTCTAAGGGCTAGGCTGTGTCTTAGAGCATATATTACATGGAGGGAGCACTGTGTGAGCAGAAAGCGTGATCGGTGCTCTAAGGTTTAGGTAGAGTCTGTCTCTCTCGCACATGCTTCTGATTGGCTGTAATGTAAATCTCGTCACCTTGCTTAGCGCATGCCCAATGAAACCGCCAATGACAGTGACTGTGCGAGAGAGACAGACTCTACCTAAACTCAGTCTCTCTCTCTCTATGCCGATCACGCTTTCTGCTCACACAGTGCTCCCTCCATGTAATGTATGCTCTAAGGGCTGTGTGGTCATTGGTCATTACATGTAATGTATGCTCTAAGGGCTAGGCTGTGTGGTCTAAGTAAGACCTTTGCCGACTTAAATCAGTGAATCAAAATAACAACAAAAATCTATGGTTGTCAAATTCAGAACGTCAATTTCAGTTTGTGGTCAAATTTTTTTTAGTTTATGAATATCGAATCGTAGACTATAATATAGTATACTAGTATATACACAGTAATCTATGCTATAAGTATATACATAGTCATAGAGTAGAGTAATATATACAGAAATATTATAATATATAGTGATCTGTGATGTCGAATTGAATTGAATGTTGGTTTACATGACACAATACAAAAACAATTTCCATTGTAATAGTAAATAATGCAGTAAATATACAGAAATGGGTAAGTAACGGTGCGCAAAAAAGTCTTTCAATAGAATCATTTACCTATAATTCTTTAAATCATTTAACAGAGGAAACGAAAAATGAAACACTGGATCTCTCTAGACGTGGGCTGAAGAAAATAGAGAAAGCGCCTCCAGAAGAATCAAAAACTGTTTTTAATTTGATCCTCGATCAAAATGAACTACAGCGTCTGGACAACATTGACAGTTACAACCGTGTTGAAAATGTAATACCTTTAGTTTCCCTACATTTCTTTAAAATTAAATGAACAAATTTATCGTTTTTTTCAACCAACTTCAAAATAAATGTGATCAAGATCTGACTGAGTTTTTGAGGTATCCTTATTAATACGTATTTAATTGACTGGAGGGATGATGTCCTCATTTTATTTATATTGAAGTCGGTTGTACAAAATTTTTAATTTTACCACTTGTTTTTTGGATGTAATCTGTGTGTGTTGATTTATAAGCATTATAATATTTATAAGCATAAAATTAAAACTTTAAGGAAATAGTCAATTATTGCGGGTTGGCTATACACTGGTACTTGATTTTAATAATGTTTTTAGTTTAAGAGGCTTGTTAGGGTTAAGCTTGAACCTATTACACTGTTTTTAGATGTCAGAAATGTGTTTTGAATTAATTACGATAAAAATAAATTTTGCTATAAATTGCTTATAAAAAAACACAAATATCTCCATTTGGTCTAGTATTATGAAGTAGATGTCCGATACTCGATTTTTTAATTTTGTTTTCCATTTAGGAGGTTTGTCAGGGTTAAGCTTGAACCTCTTACACTGTTTCCGGATTTTGGAAATGCCTTTTGAATTAATTATGATAAAAATAAATTTCATTAAACATTGCATATAACAAAATGTAAATAATATGTCAATTTTTTTTAACATGGATACTCCCATATAAAAGTTAATCACTTGGTGGGCTTGTAATCCATTTTTGGCTGAGGACGGGACTCGTATACAACAAATTGAGTCACAGTGAAGAGCAGTCAAGAAGTTTTTCAGAAAACAAAATTATATAATAAAAAAACACCAGCCAAAATAAAAGAAATAAAAAGAAAAAAAATCTAAAATGTAAAAGAGTTTAATCATGTATGGTGTTCGCTAATAAAAAATCATTATAATTTAAATTACATTCTTTAATTTACTACTATCATAGCAGAGCTTAGGGTAACCTGACTTTATAAATAAGATTCTGTCCTAAAACTGAATCAGCACACCCCAACGCCAAGTAGTCTTGTCTGCCTTACCCCTAGAGTGGTTTTGTAAATCCATAGGCGTAGAGGAAGAGCAGCCCCTGCCTGCCATAGCAAATTGCAGGCATCAGTGTGAGCCATAGTGGCTGTGGCTGGTCGCCGAAGGCGACCAATAAGCCGAACCTGTGGAGGTAAGCATGGTTGCAATTTGTTATTATGCAAGGGCGTAGGGGTTGCACTTCCCACAGTGCCAAAGCTGTTGCCGAAGTAACTTTGGGTCAATATTCCTGTGTAAAAAGTGAGGTTATGATTTTCATTACTCATAAACTGTACGCGTCCTGCACCAAGTTTTTGTTTGATGTCACTTTTTGTTTGTACAACTAAAGTATCTTCTACAATATTTTTCGAGAGTATAAAATATTTTTTCAAATCATTTATATCTTTTGTTTTACAGTTGTCTATATGCAACAATTTTTTGCTAAGGATGCATGGTGTTTCTCGTCTAGTCAACATCAGGGTACTGGCATTAAATAACAATGGAATATTACAAATTGAGGGTTTAAAAGATCTTATTTATTTGAAAGTGTTGAAATTAGCTGGTGAGTATATAAACTTGTTTTTGTTACTACTGTAGATTATTTATGTTAGAATCAGGTGTTACTTTGAAGAAATCCATTACAATAAAGATATTGATTAATTTGCAACCTTCCGCTAACCAAATACAATGATATGTCTTACCTGGGTTGTAGAGCACCTCCCGCCCTCCCTCAATTGCGTGCACTAATTCCGTCACCATTAGTCCCAGCAGTAGCAGCAGCAGTTGCTGGGACTAGTGGTGACAGAAGTTTTTTCTGAACCAGTAGTAAATAAAAAAATGACTTAATAAGTATTATGCATACTAATCTATATTAAATAAAAATCATTTGTTTCATTTGTAAACATCGGTAAGGTCTAATAGGGTAATTATACAAAAAGATACCGATTGTGACTTGTAAATAGTTCAACACAGGAAAGAACTAAGACTTACAGAATACTTACCAGAAATATTTTTTTTGTGAAGTGGGCACTGATTGGTTTACCGAACTTGTTTCTGGTTTGGTTTTTATTGTGAGCACAAATCTAAGATCGTTAAGTTTATAGTTTAAAAATTTGCAACTTCTTTTTAATTTCAGGTAATAACATCAAGTCAATTGAGCATTTGAACAATAATATGCATTTGGAACACCTTGACCTGTCAAACAATCAAATATCTTTTATAACAGACATTTCGTACTTGAAGGGCTTGAAGGTAAGAAAGAATTTTATACATGGTTATCTTTATCTTATTCTGCAGCTATATTATGGTTGTGGCACAAATGGCTCCACTGGGGAAGGAACACACTTTTAAAGAATACAAGTGTAAAATAGCAGCATAATGCTGCTGTGTTTGGTACTGTGAGTGTAGAGAACTAGAGACACTTTATACTTAAAATGAGGTATTCCATCTAAGTCCTCTGGAAATATTTCATTATGCCTATTCTACACCCTGGCAAATGTGACTGGTGACGTAGTATTTCACCGATGAATCTGACAATATTGCACATTGACTTGTGCTAGCTGGCCGGGTCAACATTGCCATTAATTAATAGCATTCTCTTTCTCGCGCGGTTTGACTACTCTTCGTGCATCAGCTAATGTTGATATTATTTTGTTCCACTCTTTTTCATATCAAACAGTGAATTAAAAATAATTATTTTATTTTGTAGGCAAAATTTTATGGGCGTATTTTCAAAAGTCGTTGGTATTAAAGATAGAAATTAATATCTAAAAATATTTTATATTAAATTATTAAGAATATGTGATAATAAAAATTTTCTTTTTGCATTTATCCATTCATTCATTACGTAAGGATGATTTTGGTGCAGCATTACATTACATTGCAGCAGCATCTTCCTGATAACAGCAACTGTACGACAAAAAAAAACTGCGGTTGCCAACCCGCTCGCCAAGCGTGGCAACTATGGCAATATACCCCCCATGAACAATTACACAAATAGACGGCCCCCAGTCCCCGGCGGCCCCGCTATTCCTGGCTACGGTGGCGACCATGGTAACGGCGGGGCAGGGGTGCTAAGAATCTCCAGTGGAGGTTCGGTTGCCACCTACGACGACTCGACCTGGCAACATTTAACGCACGCACACTGAGGACTGACGAGAAGATCCTGGAGCTGGAAGAAGAGATAGACAAGTTGCGCTGGAGTATTATATGATTATCCGAGGTCCGAAGAGAGGGGGAGGACACGGTGATTCTCGAATCCGGCAACTTGTTCTATCACCGGGAGGGCGACCATCTGTCCCAAGGAGGTGTCGGATTTATCGTCCGCAAGTCTCTCGTCAACAACATTGTAAAGATTGGGAGTGTGTCGACGAGGGTCGCGTACCTGATACTCAGAATCACCAAACGGTATTCGCTGAAGGTCATACAGGTTTACGCACCAACCTCGGCACATTCCGATGAGGAGGTGGAGGAAATGTATGAGGATATTTCCAAAGCCATGCATTCCTCCAAAACCCACTACACGGTGTTGATGGGAGACTTCAACGCAAAACTAGGCACAAGAGAAAACGGTGAGCTGAAGTTAGGGAAATTTGGAGTAGGGCAACGGAACCGAAGGGGCCAGCAGCTGGCCGACTTCATGGAGAAAGAGTCCCTCTTATGATGAACTCTTTCTTCCAGAAGCGGCCTCACAGGAAGTGGACCTGGTCGAGCCCCGACGGTTCGACAAAATATGAGATTGACTTCATTATGACGACCAGACGCCAACTGTTCAGTGATGTCTCAGTGATCACAAGGGTGAAAACTGGCAGCGATCACCGAATGGTTAGAGGCACACTGAACCTAAACGTTAAGTTGGAGAGGTCTCGTCTAATGAAGTCAACGCTCCGTCCCCCTCGTGCTCTAATCCAAAATCCCGAAAACTTTCAGCTCGAGTTACACAACCGCTTTCAGTGCCTACAAGATTGCAATGCAGTGGACGATATGAATGACAAGCTCGTGGAAACTGTCCATGCGGTCGGAGCTAAGTTCTGCAAGACCCGCCGCAGAAGAACACAAAAACTCTCCGATCACACTCTTAATCTCATGGCTGTTAGACGGGAGATGAGGCTGCAATCGTCAACAGATTTGACAGCATACAGGCAACTGAACAGACAGATCTCCAAATGCATGCGGCGAGACTTACGCAACTTTAATACTGCTCGTATTAAAGAAGCGATCGAGCGGGGCTCCAAAGTCTTTGCCAGAGATCTGTCTGCCCGTAAGAGCCAACTGTCAAGGCTGAAGACTGAGTGTGGCAGCAACGTTTCCGGGACACCTGAGATTTTGAGTGAGATTGAGAGGTTCTATGGGCAGCTGTACACATCATCGTTGGAGCCACACGCAAGTGTGAGTAACGATCCAAGAGCAAGTCTTATCCGACACTATTCCGATGATATCCCGTACGTCAGTCTAAGCGAGATTAGAATGGCTCTCCAGCACCTTAAAAACGGCAGGGCCCCAGGCGAGAATGGAATTCCAGCGGAGCTTCTGAAAGCGGGTGGAACACCGGTACTTGAAGTCCTTCAGAAGCTCTTCAATTCCGTCCTCCATGGTGGCACTACTCCAGAGGCGTGGAGCAGAAGTGCGGTGGTCTTGTTCTTTAAGAAAGGCGACAACGCTCTCTTGAAGAACTACAGACAGATTTCCCTTCTGAGCCGCGTCTACGTGCTCTTTTCGAGAGTCATTACGAATCGTCTCGCACGCAGACTCGACGACTTCCAGCCTCCCGAACATGCCGGTTTCCGAAAAGGCTTCAGTACCATAGACCACATACATACCCTGCGGCAGATTGTACAGAAGACAGAAGAGTACAATTTGCCACTTTGCCTGGCGTATGTGGATTATGAGAAAGCTTTTGATTCCGTCGAAATTTGGGCGGTGCTGCAGTCCCTTCAGCGGTGCCAAGTTGACTGTCGGTATATCGAAGTGCTGAAGTGTTTGTACAGTAGGGCTACGATGGCTATCCGAGTACAGAACCAGAGCTCGAAACCTATCCAACTGCAGAGAGGTGTAAGACAGGGTGACGTTATATCCCCCGAAACTCTTCACCGCTGCTTTGGAAGACGTTTTCAAGCTACTGGACTGGAAAGGATACGGTATTAACATCAATGGCGAGTGCATCACTCACCTTCGATTTGCCGACGATATAGTCCTTATGGCAGAATCGCTGGAGGACTTAAGCACTATGCTCAATGACCTCAATAGTGCCTCCCAACGGATAGGTCTTAAGATGAACATGGACAAAACAAAGATCATGTTTAATGTCCATGTCACACCTATGCCGGTAGTTGTTGGGAGCACTATGCTCGAAGTTGTTGACGAGTACGTTTACCTGGGACAAATAGTCCGACTAGGTAAGTCCAACTTCGACCGAGAGGTAAATCGACGGATTCAACTCGGCTGGGCAGCGTTCGGGAAATTACGACACATCTTCTCGTCAGGTATACCTCAATCTCTGAAAACTAAAGTGTACAACCAGTGCGTGTTGCCAGTGATGACTTACGGATCAGAGACGTGGTCCTTCACTGCTGGCCGTATGAGGACGCTCAAGGTCGCTCAGCGAGCTATGGATAGGGCTATGTTCGGAGTTTCTCTGCGTGATAGACTCAGAAATGAGGATATCCGCAGTAAAACCAGAGTGACCGACATAGCCCAACGGATTAGTAAGCTGAAGTGGCAATGGGCCGGCCATATAGCTCGAAGAACCGATAACCGATGGGGAAGAAAGGTTCTCGAGTGGCAGCCTCGTACCGGTAGGCGTAGTGTAGGGCGACCCCCCACTAGATGGAGTGACGACCTGGTAAGATATGCAGGAAGTCGATGGATGCAGATGGCTCAGGACCATGCTTTGTGGCATTACTTGGGGGAGGCCTATGTTCAGCAGTGGACTTGTGAAGGGCTGTGATGATGATGATGATGATGATGATTTTGGTGATTTTTAGACCCCCACCTACATGGAGTACTTAAGATTTCTCGACCCCCTTCCCTCTTATGAAACATTCTATCATTTTTATTTAGATTATACTTCTATTATTTTTATTTTATATAATATATATGCGAGAAGAAAGTACTATAATATTTATTATGTTAAAGTCAATTACAGCCTATATACGTTCCTATCCTGGGCATTGGCCTCCGCTCATTTTTGAGAGGGTTTTATATATTTTTATAATTACTGTGGATTTCGGGTATAATGACGATGAAGAGACCACTCTATTTTCGTCGTTATATCCGAAATTTGTTACGGGCAAAGGTAAAGAGATACAGGCACATACACATGTATATAGTTTATATTTGAAAATATTTGCACACATAGTTATTCACTGGTATGTTCTGTAATTGAACCATAACTTTAACTCCGAAACGTACACGCTTCCCTACCTTCTTAGCTGATATCTATAAACAAAAGGTAAAGGTCTCCACATATTTTTGAATACTGGCTAGATGAACTTCACCAATTTAAAAAATATAACGTTTGCGCTTGTCAAAAATAAAAAAGACATTAATTTTTAAATATGGAGTGGTTGAAGAAAGAAGATAGTGTCTACAAAAATAATTCAAAAATTGAAATTAACTCTACAATTTGTTTACCGCACTATCAAATGATTCACTGAAGATTCAAGCTTCGAAGATCGTAAGAGGACCGACCTCGTACATTTAGCACACCCGCGATCATGAAAGCAGTGAAGGCGCGAATCCAACGAAATCCTGTTCGTAAACAAAAAAACTTAGCTCTTCAGATGGGCCTAAGCAGAACCGCGATCAAAAGAGTGATCAATGAAGACCTAGGACTACGAGCTTCTTGTAAGAAGACCGGACATTTTTCGAACGAGCGTTTGAAAAAAAACTAGGCTGGATAGATTCCGTGCTTTGTTACGGCGGTACGCGGGAAAAAAAAATATTTTTTTAAAACATTAAAGAAAGTTAGAATAAACAAAATGATAAGGTGTATGCCACAGCAGTGAAGAAGCCAGCACGCGTATTCCGAGGGATCAACGAGCACATTATCCTTCGTCGCTCATGGTTTGGCTTGGAGCCTCACATTCAGGCTTAATTGAGATGTTTTTCCTGTGAAAAAGGTGTAAAAACCAGTGCCGAGGTGTGCCAAAATACCGTAGCACGCATTTGATTAAGGGCATGTATTCAAAATACGTGTGCCGGACGGGCGAAACTCTCCGGAGTAAATGTTGTCGAAGATACTTCGCGAGTCG